ATGGCAAAAAGTGCTGCGAAATCTCTAAGTAAAAGGACGATCAAATTATATCTAACTACTATGATTTATCTGCATCAAGGATAACGAAAGAGAAAGATAGGAAGGAAAGAGTGAGAAAGATAGAGAAAGAGAGAGAGAAAGCAAGAGCAGGAGCTACAGAGCCACAGGCGCCGATCCGATAGTGTGTCGACGATAATCGGTGCGGGCGTGTAACAGGCGGCGTGGCTCGCGCGCCACGTCCACGCGTCCAGCATGAACACATACACATGCTTATGTATACATACATACATACATACATACATACACACACACACACACACACACACACACATATATATATATATATACATGTATAGACAGAAGTACACGGAGGAACGCATACAACGAACGGAAGCATCTAAGATCCTATCGTCGAATGGTAGGAGCGCGCGATATGACCGCTGCCTATTGCTACTCGTTTTACCGAGGGGCTTAGAGGAGACCTTCTCGATTATCGTTTTACCATTCGAGAAGGGATTTATCTCGATCGGTCGAAACACGATGCCGGCAATGCGGCCAACCTTTTGATAACGATAAACTAATGCCAAACTTTATACCAACGCTTTTATATTTGTAAACTTATAAGAATATATCTGCAAGTCGACATAATGGGGTCGATACAACGTTTTTACAATGACAATGATGATGATGATGATGATGATGATGATGATGATAATAATAATAATAATAATAATAATATGTTGTTGTCCGAGAAGTTGTGCGATTCCTCTTCCGCTTTAACATTATCATTGCCCTGTAAATGACCTACGTTGTGTTGTCCTACTCTTCCTGTCTTCTCTTCCTTTGGACCGTGTGGGTGTATAATGACAGAGCGTTGTACTATGAACGATTAACTTCTATCTCTAGGGCTTTTCTTTATGTTTTCTATTTGTTTTGAAGAGAGAAAGAGAGAGAGAGAGAGAATAGAATAGAATTGTAGACAGGAATAATTTATTGAAAAATTTTATTCCATTATTTTCACATAGTATAACCTTTAACGATACTTGTTTGATCAGATGAAATAAAACGCATAATTATTCCGATAAAAGTGATTGAAGATAGTAAATTATTGAAAGGTATCGAAGATGACATTTATTTATCTTTGTAATCAAAAATGTGACTTTAAAAAAATGACTAGATTATAATGTTAGAAGAAAAAAGAAAGAAAAAGAAGGAAAGAAGGAAAAGAAAAAAATATTTCGTTGGGAAATCCTCTTCAATCCTTCGTTATCTTGAATGATCTTGTAGAAGACTAGCATCGAGCTGCGTCATATTCTCTTTGAAAGACAAAAAGATTACGCCGGACCGTTAATACGGTTACGCGTTATCTAGATTGCAACAACTAGCTTCGGCTTCCGTCGGTCGAGAAACGGAATGAGTAATTAATCAAAGACAATCAAACTCTGGGAGCCTCGACTTTATCCGACTCCCAACGAATATAACACTCTTATTCGTCCTGTTTATACTCCCCGTTGTGAAATCCGAAAGAAAAATTAAATAAATAGATATGGATCATTATGAAAAATCATTCAAATGATTTCATGAGATAATTATAAAGACTTTCGAAAATTCATTCAAATTAATTTTGTAATCAAACAAAAAGAGAGAGAGAGAGAGAGAGAAAACAACTTAATGGATTTTTTTTTATACTCATACACGATTAGAGATGAATAATAAAAAAAAAAACACAGAAACAAAAAATGAAATAAAAGAAAGAATAACGAGCTAAAGAGCATTAACACGTAACAAATTTTGAGCATAAATACGAAGCTCTTAAGAAAATAATTCGAACAAACTAATCCTCAGGATCTTAATTACATCTACGATTTATAAACTCGATTTATTCGTCGGACTTTTCTAAAAGAGACGTGAAACGCGTCTGTTAAATTCTTTAGCGTAGAACGGACCCGTTAAATCCAAAGAAAGATTTTAATTTCGTTAATACGTGGAGTTTTAATCGTGACACCAAAAGAAGTAGTAGAAGTAGAAGTAAAAGAAGAAGAAGACCCATTTATCATATCTGGTCCTCGTAGACGTCTAGAAAGCTCTTAATTATGACTATTTCGTACCCGAATCGATCTCAACTTTCACGAGTTACTTTAAAAAAAGAACTTCTGAATTCGGTTAGAGTCGGTTTACTTTTCAAGAGGAATTTTATATATATATATATATATATATATATATATATATGTATAAGTATATATATTATATAGAAAGCTTATCCGGTCGATCATATCGAAAGGAGGCCAGATCGATTTATCTTCGGCGATATGTAAAGCGAAGATCAAAGTTCCTGTAGATCGTAGGAAGAGCTTTGAAAGAGAGACTCTAAGCTGATTCACCAATGTACATATGTATAGATATATGTAGGTACATAAATATATATATATATATACATGCATATATACATACAACCTATATGGTATTCACGTACGATCGGAATTTTCCGATAGCCACCATGCTGCGATTTATAGACGTTCAGGGAAACGGACTTGAGCCGTTATAAACGGCCGCTTAGACGACGTTCGAAACGATGCTGAAGGTGGAGGAGAAAAAGAATGAGGAGGAGGAGGAGGCGGGGTTAGAATCGGCCAGTCGATGTTTAAAGTCGAGTTTAATATCTGCTTGTATTATATCGCCGCGGGAGATCGCTAGAAGCATTTGCAGGGAAAACAATAGGACGTCGATAGAGAACGGAGGGTGCATCTCGTCCTCGTCGTCCTCCTCGTCGTCGTCGTCGTCGTCGTCGATTCGATTCGATTCGATTCGATTCGATTCGATTCAATTCGACTCGATTCGATTCGACTCCAAACGTCTTCTCTCGTGTCGAGGTCGAGCTTAGACGAGATCGAGCTAAGCTTCGTGCCACCGTACCGTTACTAAAAGTACATAATATATATCCCTTTGTATCATCGTCTTCTTCGACCCTTTTTACTTCATTTTCATCTTCATCATCATCATCATCCTAAATAGAATAAAAATCTTTCGTGGAAATTATTTCACAACAAATCGATTAGTTTTTCCAAATAAGTATTTTCTCGACACACACACACACACACACACACACTCACACAGATATATATATATATATATACCTATATTTCATCAACGAATTCATATTAAAAATGCCCGGGAGGAAAAGACCATAAGCCATCGAATTCCATTTTGCATGGATCCCTGTAGATCATTAATCCACAAATGGATATGAATTGCGGTAGCTACTTCGAACGAGACTCTTTTCTCATTCTATCTCTCTTACTCTTTCTCTCTCTTTATCTCTCTCCCTCTCCCTCTTTCTCTCTGTCTGAAGAGAAAAAAACTTGGGAGTAATAAAAATGAGGCGTGGTTCGTGTTCACGACGGCCGATTTCGCGGTTTAAATTATTAAATGTACCGTACTGCGTTCGCTCGATCTCCTCTCTGGAGGAGCCACTTTTTTATTCGTTCCACGTCTCGCGCTATTTTATCGGCACGACCATGCTTCTTTCGAGTGATATCAGATGCTGCGTTTTTTTCTTTCTTTCTTTCTTTCTTTCTTTCTTTCATTCTTTCCTTGCTTTTTTTTCTTTTTTTTCTCTTTTCTTTCGTCCTCTTCATCTTCTTTTTCTTCTTCTTTTCGAACTTCGCATTGCCTCGAGCCATTCGAACGGAGGCCTCTCGTTTTATGGCCATTTTAAAGAGACGACAAAAAAATAAGAGCGTTCTCTTATGCGCATTAGGCCAGACGGAGAAAGAGAGAGAAAGAGAGAGAGAGAGAGAGAGAGAAAGAGAGACTTCTGTAAGTACTTACTTACTTATTTGCGAATCCATCAATCGTTTAAACTCATTTTAGTGAGATTATTTTACCTTGATGCGTTTTTTTCGCTTTCTTTTTCTACCTACGTAACTGAGAATAGTCCGAGGTATGTATTATCGTAAAAAAAAAAAAAGAAAAGGAATAAAAAAGAAAAGAAAAAAAAGTTCTTCAAACCCATTACGATGAAATCTATAAAAGTACGATACAATTGAACATTTTTTATTTAAATTTAACCTAAGGATTATCCTTACGTACGCCATTTAGAGTGGCACATAATCGATCGTTAAACCATAATCCAAGAAAATATAAGAAGGACAGAGTATTCTCGTGACGTTCGTATATGCAAGTTGGCAGTTAGGATTCTGACTGTATCGATCGTTTCGACGACGTTTAAAGAGAATCTCCTAAATGGCATGAAGCAACGAGAGTTAATTTTTTCTACACCTCGAATGGGAAATCCCGTAGAGGAGATTAAAAAGCTTTGAAAATAGAAGGTGAAGATATCTTTAAGGTATGCACGAACATTCTCTGCTCCCTTTCAGTTCGTAGAGGTGAAGGTAACCAACGCTAGTATCCTCAGAAAGAAAGAGAGAGAGAGAGAGAGAGAGAGAGAGAGAGAGAGAGAGAGTCCATCTCTATGAAATATTTTCCATAGAATGGACGTTAAAATGAGAAGGAAAAGAGAAAAAGAGAGTGAAAGAAGGATTGAGGAGAGTGATGGGGCGGGGCGGGGGTTGGTTGGTTGGTTGAGTAAGAAAAAAAATTCAACATAATTAACCCATAAAGCAAAGCAATCGACGTGGATCTCTATGGTTTAACCATAACCGAGAATCGAAGGTTGGGTTCGAAGCACGTTCGAGGCGCGGTATTCCTCTAATACAACCGCAGATACATATGACGCGTGTGTGGATACGTTGGTAAGTATTCGCCACGAATAAGCAGGCGAAGCAATAACCAGCAATAAGGAGTTTCGATCGTTACTCGATTCGAACGATTCGAGTCTATCAAACTCCTCGCACGTGGAATTTCGAGAAGCGATGCTTTCCTTCTTGGTAAGAAACGATCGATAACCGTGGATCGTAGATCATCTTGCTTGCCATTTTCAATAGGCTTTAAAGCGATTGGGGTTTTTCAAGAGCGAGTTTCAAGAGCGGTCTTAAACTCACCGGTTGAAGAGACGTAAAGAGATGCTGGCGGTGGTGTAGGCGTTGTCGATGGTGAAGGTACTCTTCTTGCAGCGGCACTAATTATCACCGCTGGATTATACCGAGGCACCTGCAACACCACGGGAGTTTTCACGGACAGGTCCACTGGTTCCAGCTGCACCGGCGGTCCCGCCGCCTGAAATTAAAATTAGTATGGATTAACGATAAAGCGTCACAACTTTGTCAAATCAAAAAAAAAAAGAAAAAAAAAAAAAGAAGAAACAAAAAGAAGAAGAAGATTAAAGTACGAGATGATTATAATTCGATCAGGTAATATTCAAAAATATTATACTTATATCGTTTCGATAATAAATCATCTTTCTAATAATTTCTTTCTATCGATTTATTACAACATCGTAGATCATTATACATCCTAGAAAATATCGAATAATTTTATTTTCTATACCGTATCCATCAATTCACTAATCTCATAGAGATTTTTAACAATGATTCGATAAATATGTTCGATGGTCTTATGAAAAATCAGAAAACGGATACTCTCATAAATTTATCCATGGTAATATTTCAATCGGGTTGCGTATATATCGCGGATCTGAGTGAAACTGAACCCCTAAAACCTTTCAAAGGAGCGACCACGGTAAATCGATAGTTGATCGAAGGTTTTACCTTCGTTACCCGGTCTATCTCTATCGTGGAACCGTGAGCTCTCTCCTCCGATCCTTGGTAGCACGAGCAAAGTGCTTTCGCGCAATTAGCATAACTAGCGTCGGAATTGACGTGGACTAATCACGACCAGTTCCCACGAGGTTCAGACTGAGTCCTGCCTTTGCCCATTGCCTATACCCTTCCCTATCCTACCTTCCCCCCTTTTCCTTCGATGTACCATGGATCGCCTAATGACCGATCGAATTAATAGTCAATGACTAAGAGCGCGATGGAACCAATTTTCATCGCGTTCTTCTCTATCCTATTCTATTTACTACTCTCTATCCTCTCTCTCTCTCTCTCCCTCTCTCATCTCGACTACGAATTATTTTCTTATTATACTATGATCATCGATGATAATAATAATAATAATAATGATAATATATAAGGAGTAATATGTAATATATTATAAAGATATATGCTGAAAATGTGTATAGACATAAAATAATTTATTTATTTAATTGATTTATAAATAATCATCATTAACGATTAACATTTGTGTGTGTGTGTTTATAAATCAATCCAATGTAAAAGAAATTTGATTTGGTAAATTGTGAAAGAAAACAAAGTTTCATGCGAGGACATAATGTTTAAAATTCAAGACAGAAGGTGACGTGAAATCATGGCAGTATCGGATTTACAAAACGCTCGGGGACGAGAAGATCGGATTTACGGAGGCTGCCTTCGAGCGCGATTGTTCCGAAGTAATGCCTTGACGAAACGTGGGAATGCCGCGGTCATATCGACGGCGAAAAGCTCGCGTTCTGTCCCTGCAATATACATGTCATAGAACGAAACGAATGGCTCTTGTCGCGAAACACGATACGAAGCTAATAATGTAACTTCGAACGATCGTATATGCGTACAACGGTTAACGATTAACGAACAATAAGATCCATGTATGTATGTATGTATGTATGTATTTAGAACGTTACTTTCTCATTTATTTCAAATGTATCCTTTCGAAATCGATTATATTACGTAGGAATTTCAAATTAAATTAAACAATTGTTACCTGTCTTCTCGTTCAAACTTCGTTTATCGAATGTTCCAACTGTATTATAATATCATATAATCGAATCGAATGATTTTCTAAAAAATTATAATTTTTCCTTTTTTTTTAACGAATGAAAAATATATAAAATCGATGTTACGATAGACGTGTCAAATTTCGAAATGAATGAAAAAGAAAAGAATATGAGATTCTTCGGAAGAAAAAAGAAAGAAAGAAAGAAAGAAAGAAAGAAAGAAAGAAAGAAAGAAAGAAAGAAAGAAAAAAGTAAAGGAATCTCGAGATATTGCGGAGAAGGAGAATGACATCGCGGTCCGAATCACAGATGAGATCCGTTGTCCGTGTCGGCGAGGTCATAGCTAAGCCGGTATGCCTTCGTTGCAAATCAATTCCGAAAAAGAGACATTCGGCACGCGAGACACGCCCACGGCTACGTTCTCGTTTCTAGAAAGTAACCAAGTACATACAAGCTCGACAGCGAATTTCTTATTCATGAACGTCGCGGAATGAGTAACGAGAGGCTTCTCGTATTTTCGTTTAGACGTCATATGAATTAATGATTCGACTCGCGTAACTCGCTTTTCGTTTGCAAAAGTCGGATCGATGACAATTCTAATCGAATCTAATGCCTAGAAGATATCTCGAGAGATGACGTTCCTATATATCTACTCGATATATTTGAGGACCTTTCTTTGAGAAACTGGAGGGGAGAGGACTTCTTTTCCTTTTTTTTCTTTTCACTTCTTTTTTCTTTTTCTTTTTTTTTTTCTGACTTCTTCGAATATACACTCGACAGAGCCGGGGATCAACGATTCAACCATGCGAGGCGATTAATATTTAGCGAGAAGGAAAGGGGAAGCGCGTTTCGATGTATAAAATCAAGCAACGTATTAAATCCGTGATGACTAATGAAAGAACGGATAAACTGTTCTTAATGGTTCCAGGCTACGTTGTTGCGTGTTGACGTGCTCACGCACATTACGTACGTTCTCACAGTAGCGAGTCGTAATGAGAATGTAACGTTCATCAATCATTCGTTGTTAGGCAATCTCCAATTGGACGAGTCCTGTTAGAATTAATTTAATTACCCCGACTGTTTTAACGTACCTACCTAAATATATACATTTACCAATATTACACGAATCCATTATTGTCCATATACATATATGTATTTATATTTCAATACAAATATTTAATCATGACAAAGAGGTGGAATAATATTTAATTATGATCCTACATAACGTTTCTACCAGCTATTGATAATTTATGTTCAAACCGTTATCAGGTCAACGCCCTTTTACCGACATCGTCTACGTACTGGGAATGTTCGATAGGCCGATAGATACGCGTATATCTCGGAACGTTCGTACTTTCCGCGCTAGAGTTAATTAGGTTTATTAAATTGCTAATAACGCTTTACATCATATATGATGTTATATACGAAGATGGATAGAGAGAAGGGACGTAGAAACGAAAAGGGAAAAGCGATTGCATCATTAATGACGTGTAATCAATTTAATATATGCGTGTCCTTTTAATTTTCTACGCAAAATGAAACTTTAAAGAAATTAATTGCCTCGATATCTTTGAATGTTATTAATTAGAAAGTCAGATCTATAATATTTTTCGAAATTGTGGGCATAATAGTCAATATCTTCTATGTATGTGTGTGTGTGTGTGTGTGTTTCAAAATCAAACGGAATTATAATTATGTGATATTTTTTAAAATAGAAAAGAAAAGAAAAAGAAAAAACAAAAAACAAAAAAAAAAGAAAAAGATATGCGCGAAGAAATTATCGATCAGATCGAAATAAGCTAACGAGTTATAAATCGTCACGGACAAACTAATTTACTAATTCCAAAATTGCTCTATAAACACCTTATACTCGAGAGTAATGTCTACATCGACGCTTAACTATGATCCCGGATGATGCGCAAGATCCATAGCCGAGCGAAGTTACATAGAAGCGTACAGAAAACGTCGTTTCTAAGGATAATAAAAAGAAACCGTATATAATATATAATAGACCTATCTCGGTAATAACTCGTAGTTATCTTCGGTTACGGTAGATCTTGCCGATAATTTCAAAGACAGTCGGTATATATGTATGTATGTACGTCAAATATATGTATGTGTGTATATATATTATATATATATAATGTAAAAGACACGCTGTAAAATTCTCGACAGTTGTGATATCATAAGAGAGAAAGAAAAGGGTTGTTAATCGTGGCGCCTCCTTTTCCTTCAGACGTCTAATAAAAAGTTAAGAGTTCAAGAAGGAGATAGAGATATAGAGTATATGTACGTAAACGTAATCACAATACGTTTTGCAATAAACGAATTGACGAAGTTAAAAGCTATCCAATTAAAAACGTCATTTCTTATTTTAAATAATATATTTTTGCCGAAGTATTGCGCCATCTTTCTTCTCGGCACGCTCCCTCTCTCATCCCCTTCGTCACCATACCCTACCTTCCAATACAATCGAGAGCTTCAATGTTTTTACAATTGTAATTATCTCGGAATATATATTAAAATTTAATGCCATATTCTTTCGCTTAAATATGTTTTTCTTAAGTAACATAGACTTCTACTTTCTATTCATTTTTAATTCAATCTGTCGAACGATTAATAATTAACGAAAGTATTCGTTCGATCAAGGATCGAACTGTTTAGTTTTGGTTGGTTTTGGTTAGTTGTTTGATTGGTTGGTTGATAGATTGATTGATTGATCTTTATTAGCTTATTTAGCTATTTGTAGCATACAGTTTGATTTTAGTTGATATTGTATTAAGGATTTTTCTTACATTTCTATTATTTGGAGGAAAAAGAAATAATCATAATCATTCGAGGGAGATCGATGTATCACGGAAAAGAGTGTATTTTCTCTTTTCATTCGATTCGAACGAACTTTTCATGAGAGATCGCGTGTAACAACGTCGAAACGTCCAAGCAAAAATAACAGCCAGAAAATATCAACGTCCGACGACTCAATTCGAGCAGCAAAGAGAGTTTTATGACGTCGATTATTCGCTTCTTTATTTGGCTTGCCGTTGAGCGGTCAAATAAACGACGGTGCTCGTTAGCCATTCGGAATGGAAAAAAAAAGTCGAACAGAGAAAGAGAAAGAGAGAGGGAGAGAAAGATAGAATGAGTGAGAGAGACATGAAGAAGAGCTAATTCGAAGAGTCTCGTGTCATAATTGGAACGACGTTGATCAAAGTTTTCATTAAACTTGAGTGGGTACGGCTTGATTTTCTTCTTTACTGATTAAAGATCTTTCTTGTCAATTGAATAATTTCATTTTCCCTGGACGACTATCTCTCTCTCTCTCTCTCTCTCTCTCTCTCTCTCTCTCTCTCACTCTCGTCAATTCGATATTCAATTAATAAAATATAAAAGAAAAACGTATCTCATTTTATTACTTATATACCACGTTTCGCAATTTTATCAT